GGGCCGGCCTCAGTCAGTGGCGGCCGTGGTGGCGTCGTTCATGGATGAAGAGCCGAGGGAGTGGGTGGCCCAAGTCGAGCCTGGCGTTCTCATTACCTTTTTCCCTTTACCCCAAGGCGGGAACGACCTCAAGAGGATCCGCTTCAGGTACCTTCATCTTGACGATTAAGGATAAAAGCTTTCGATTCTTTGACTGTTTGAGGGGAGAATTTTGGGTCAGGATATTTGATTAAAATTTAATCAGAATGAATCTTTTTAAATATTGTATTTGGTTTGAGATAGTTATAATATATGTTTTGAAATAAATATTATATCTTATCTTTATGATTAAGTATGAGCAAAACTGTATACTCAAATGTTAATTTTACATATTTTTTACCCCTTCTAGCTTCTATAAATAGGAGGATTTTATGATGTATGTAGACTCTTGGCTCTCCTTACTTGTAATAAATAGCTTTGTGGAATAAGATGGGTTGGAGAGTCTGGAAACACAACTTTTTATCCCGGTGGGGGGAAGTCTTCATCTTTTTTCTCTCTTTCTTCCTCTTTTTCTCTCCCTCTCTACTCTTATTTCCTCAATTCAATGCTCTATTCCTTGGGCACGATCTACCAGACAAATTTAGATTCAACATTTTTTAAGGTGCGGTGAGCATGAAATATGTCTTTGACAAGAAAACGAGCAACGCCGACACTCTTAGCAAAAAGTACAAGGGGAACTTGCACATCGGTGGACTCATTCCACTTATTTCTCATCGTCGACGACAACCAAAAAAGTTCATCTATTCTCCTATAGATATGTTCCCCACTTCCAGATCTAGAAATCACTTGTGCTTTCTGCCTCCATATCGCACAAAGAAAAATCTGCACCAATGGTCTCCCGATTGTTCTCCTTTTTTTACTTCCTGCTCACGCGGGGATCTGCGCCGACCTTCTCATTGTCAATTTCCCCACTAATCTATTGTTTTTATTGCTTTTGTTTTCGTTAGTTTTTCTCTCTTTTATTTTAGAAGGAGTCGTAATTTTGTCGATCGTCGTATACTTCCCATATTCGAATAAATCTCTTTTCCGAGTCACATGAATGACCAGGAGAAGAGAGGAATCGAAAAGAAGAGATATACAACAAAACGACAAACTAGAGAAAACATAAAACGCAGAGAGTTTACGTGCGGTAAACCTCGCAGGGATAAGTTAAGGTGTCCGCCCAAACAATATCCGGCGAAAACACCTTAAACCGATATCCGCGAAAGAATACCTACGTAGACTACCCATAACCAGAGAGTCAGGTGTAGGTGTCTGTTCTGGGGTCAAAAGCACTCCTAAGGGGACGTATCCCACTTGATTAATTACATCTTCGAGGGTACCCAAAAATACTCTCGATAAAAGGAGTTTCGGTTGAATTATCGTGAACCTGGGGCAATATGTATTCAAAAGAAGTTTATTCCATGTGGGAACAGTCCGATGCTTCAAAGCTCGCGCTAAGCCATCGGACAGAGAGTGAGTCTCCCACATCCCGAATGGATTCCGGCTCATCGACATACGAAACCCACAAAATAACGTAAATCATCTTGACGGGGATATCCCAACATATCAAAACACGTCCGGGCCAAAGTGCTGAGGATAAATTGTTGATCCCAAATGGGTGACACCTCATCGGCATCGAGCCGTCAAGGTGATATCAATGAAATCAAGGAGCGACATAGCTCAAAGGGTTCAATAAAAGGAAGATAGAGTGATTCTAAAAAGGTAGAGGTAACTGGGTCGGGGTGCCACAAACCCGTCATCCACAGTTACTAGGATCATAAGTCTATCTGACCGTGAAAGTAGTCGACTCAACACGTTCTGAGATCCCCGGTCAGCAATCCGTGAATTGTGTCGTCCACTGAAACCTCGGTAGCCCTAAGGTCAAATGAAGAAAACGCTATCCTATGAATACAAGATGGAGCTCCAAGAGGTGAGACTTATACCTGCCGAAATAACAAGAATGCCTCAGGAAAGAAGATAAATGGAGGTTCAGATACAAAACTGGAAACGCTCCAAACAAAAAGACTTATACTCCGCTGGGTCGAGGAGCCTTCTAATACCCTAGACACACTAGACAATCATCTATATAAAGATCTTTGGGCCAGTCAGGTTGGAGAAGCACGAGGACTCCTCTTCGGGACATGAAAATATGAATGCAGTTATCTAAAGCGGTATTTAAGTATTGTAGAGACCCTATTAATATATGCAGGAAAGTAAATGTTGCAAATTTTAAATCTTGAATATTTTAATCCTAAATTTTAATTATCTTGAATATTTTATTTAGGATTTTTAAGTAGAAAAAATAGGATTTTAAGTCCTAATGAGCGTATGTTTTATTGTAAAATCCCAGATAAACCACAGAAAGAAGTAATGAAAACATATGCAAGTGCAGACATACAATATGATGCAAAAAGCAAACAAGCCAAATCAAAATAATAAACAGGCCGATGCCGCTGGGTCGACAACATATCCCAGAAAAGAAGAAGGCGACCGGACTCCGCATATACATATCCGGTCCTAATTCTATATATCAATATAAAATGCAGAATTAAGATACGGGGCACGAACATCCGCTTCTGGTCCCCAACGCTAAACTTCTCGGAACCCGTATCCGTATCTTATTTCTGCTACATGACTCTCATAAACTCTAAAAGTGCATAGGAAAAAGAAAAAGACCTAATCCTGCATGAAAACAAGTGTCAGCGGAAAAACTCATATGCAAATAACGTATCATGAGCCATGCCTTGAAAGTGGGGGAATGAAATAACACTTACAAGCAAATTGTTAGAAATCATTACTTGCTCCCCTATAGCTATACCTGTGTGTGTGCATATAAATATGGACGACTCCCTGCAGAAGAACGCCCTAGCACACTACCATACATATGAAACATGCAGACACGCATGCAGACACGCCACAAACATAATGCAAAAGAAAGATACTTGGCTAGGACAACCAATCTAACAGAGAACAATAGCCAGACATAAAAAAGACTACCTAACACCTTAAATCCTAGCTTAACACACCTTTGAACGAAAAATGCATTAACTTAGTATCTAAGTGCGGGGTAAGTCTGGATATAGTATGACTTTGACGGGATCGTCATACCAATCCCATCCTAAAGATACGAAAGATCTAAAGGGTGTCACGAAGAGTTGTAACACGAGGTAGATCTATTACATTTTTAACACAATCATACTCGTGTCAATCTCGATGACGTAACTCACATTGCTCCCCGGGATCGATCCGACAAGTAATGCTCGTTAAGGCATCGTGATCGACACGGTGTCACTCTCCTAATGAGCCTGACTCGCTACCTATGGAAACATGCAAATGCAAATGTAGACAGTCATGTGATAGAAGTGATGAGTGTACGGTGGGGGCAGTGACTTAGGGAAATATGGGCATATTGTGAAAATAACAACCCGAACAAATGGGTGTGCCGTAGCGGCAGTGACCTGAAAGGTGGGCGTATGGGCATGCCGTAGAGGCAGCGACCCAAATAAATGGGTGTGTCGTAGTGGCAGTGACCCGAAGGATGGGCGTGCCGTGGAGGCAGCGGCCCGAAGAAAGGTGTGTCGAGGTGGCAGTGACCAAAAGTAATGGGCGTGCCGCTGTGGCAGCGGCCTCAATAAGGTGTACTGAGGCGACAGTGACCAAAAGAGATGATTGTGTTATTGCGACAGAGGCCCGAAGAATGGATGTGCCGTGGAGCAGTGACTCGGAGAGATGAGAATGCCGTGACGACAGGGGTCCGAAGGCAGTGGTGATCCTCACCGGGGAGCATCACGCAAGTGCAGATGCAAATGCAAATACATATGGTGCAACATGCAAGCATGCAAACATGCGATGTGATGCAAATAAAAAGACAATAAGATGCAGAAGCATACAAACATGCAAGTGTTCGATCGATCGAACCGTGGTGGCCGGTCGAACCAAAGTGATTGGTTGACTGGACCGGTTTAACCGGTCGAACCAAAGTGAGATGCTCACCGAGCCGAAGCGGCCTATCAAAGCGAATTGAAATGCTCGCTAGGCCGGGGTGACCGGTCGAAGCGAAGTAGTATGCTCACCAGGCCGGGGCGGCTGATCAGAGCAAAGTGAAATGCTCACCTAACCGGGGCGGCTGGTGGGTGCAAAATGAAATGCAACATGCACCAAGCAAAAATGCAATATGCAATAAACTAATATGCAGGTAGCGAACCGGGCTCGTGCTAACGACCTTGCATAGTTACCTAGGGCTGACGCACTTGGATCTGCGGCATCGCCGCCTCCAGCTTTGGCGTGACAATGTGGAAGGTTTCCCCCTCCGATTTTTCGTAGGGGAGACTCTCCACCGCTCGTAGGGCGGAGTGAGTACAAAGCTTTTTCCGCTCTACGAACACCCAAAATCTTATAGGACGACCTAACTACAAAGCTTTTTCCGTTCTCTAAGATCGAACTCAACTAATCCCTCTAAAGGAGATCAGAAGCGCCAAAACCTTGAAAAATTGGGATTCCGACCGACTGGATTAAAGCCTAAGGCTCATAACACGGGGGATCACTCGGCTTCGTACAAAACCGGTCACCGCATGGGATTCCCATCCTACGACTCCCTCTAGGAAATTGTTGATCAATTCATAAGTACGTCGCTGCACCGGCTTACGCCGGCACACGCACCCCGTGTGGTCGATCGAACCCACACGCCTAGACACCACTAAAACCTAGGGTCAACTAGGAGTTATAAAATCTCACCACCGTGACGGTTGCAGACGCGTTTTCTTTGTTTGCTCCAAGCTCGTCGGTGTCTGATCCATGCTCCAGTGTGCCTCATATGAAAATACGACCGACATGTACCTTCGGGAAGGGTTGCTCAACGCCGGAGAAAAAAGAGAACCCACGAAGAAGTGTCGGCAAAGGCCTTTCCCGCGAGGCGGAAAACCCTTGTACCTCAAACAGCGTCGCCGCTCGCTGTTCGGCGACGTTGAGGTGTTTTGAAGAGGTGTCCGGTCGCCGGAAATGCGAGGCAATGGGGTGGCGGAGGTGGTGCGCCGGTAGCACGCAACCGGAACGAGAAAAACAAGAAGAAATGCTCAAGATCTTGAGTTCATGCTGGAACGTGGCTGATCTGTCACGAAATCAACGGT